AAGTGGGAGCCACGTGACCCTCACCAGCGCAGGCTGCGCTGAAGGACTGGACCCCTGCCCTCCACAGACCTGAGCCTGCCTCCCACACCCGGGCCTCGGCCCCTGTGAATTCTGCTTCCTGGCACTGTGAAGAGAGGAGACAGTGTCTTGCAGGATTTTTGGATTATATGATTATTTATTTATTTAGGTGTCCAGAATCGAACTCAGGACCTTGCACTTGCCAGGCAGGCGCTGTGCCGATGAGCTACATCCCCGGCCCGGATTTTTATTTTTATTTATTTATTTATTTATTTATTGTCTTTTTGAGACAGGGTCTTGCTATGCAGTCCAGGCTGGCCTTGAGCTCACTTTGTAGCCCAGGCTGGTCTCGAATTCACAGTGACCCTCCTGCCTCAGCCTCCTGAGGGCTGGGATCACAGGTGTGCACCACTGTCCAGCTCTTGTTCTGTTTTCTGATAAAAGTCTCGCTATATAGTCCAGGTTTGACCTTGAACCTACTACGTAGCCCAAGCTGGCCTCAAACTCATGTTGAATCTCCTGCCTCAGCCTCCCAAGTGCTGAGATTACAGGTGTGTCCTGCCACGCCTGGCCAAATGTGGATATCTGGGGCCTTTGCTATTGGAGAGGAGCTCTGTGCTTGGCATGGAGACTGTTTTGAGGCCCCCTACCTGTCATCTTGTCTCATAACAGCACAATTTTATTTTTTTGTTATGGTATTAGGGATTGAACTCGGGGTCTCACATGTGCTAGGCAGTGGTCTACCACTGAGCTACCTTCCTGGCCCTTCTAAGTTTATTTTCAGATAAGGTCTTGCTAGGTTGCCCAGGCTGGCCTCATGCTTGGATCCTCCTGCCTCAGCCTCCTGAGTTGCTGGGGTGGCAGGGGTGCGCCCTGGCCCCTGGCCAGCAAAGAACCTGGTTCCAGGAAGTTCAGAGCCTTCCAGCTCCTGAAATCTGCCTGTACCATCTTGGAGGAAGGGAGTTTGATGGGTCCCTAGGCCACGTTTGCAGGAAGGAGCGCTGACCCCTGCCTAACCTTTACGAAAAGCACCAGAAATCTTTGTGAATTTTCCGTGCAGTGAGGAAGGCTCCAGGTTTTGTGGGCTTTCCCAGATTTTCGCCAGGTTTTCTGGGCCTTTCTCAAGTCTGTGCTGTGGAGGCTGCTGCTTCCTGTTTGCATTCTCTTACCGCAAGTCACCCCCGTTCCTACTTTCACTTGAGTTTTGTATCTCACTCCGCAGCAAGTTTGAGTTGGCGGGAAACATTTCCGGGAGCAGTTTCTCAAACCTCTTTCCCAAAACCTGCAGTTGCAGTGGGTTCACAGGACGGAGCCACCTTCGAGGTCAAAGCGGCAAAGCCTCAGTTTATGTCTGCCAGAGCCGCTGCATTCCCAGATTTCCTCATAGTCCCATGACTCCTATTCCGGGCTCAGCAGCGGCTTTCTTTTGGGGCATTTCCACAAAGAAACTTGTTCTTAATGTTTTCCATAGGTTCCTGGCTGGGGGACCACCCACTGGCAGACACACAGAGCTGGGGAACCGGGCGGCCCCGGGCTGGGTACCATCACGCCCAGAGGACAGCACCCTTCCTGCCAGTGCCAGGCAGAGCGGCTGCCCCCTGGGGGCGGGGGGACAACCGGAGCAATCAGAAACGTCAGATTTGAAGATGCTGCCCGTTTCCTGTGCAAGGAGACGCAGACCAGCGGGAGGCCACACGCCCCACCGTCTCCTCGCTGACTCTCCGACGTACCCTGGATGTGCTCGGGCCGAGGCAAGGTGCTGCTGTTCACTGCGTGGATATTCGTGTGATCTGTCGCGTGGGTTTTCGATAAATTAACGAGCACCCAGTTCACATGTTGCTCCCTCACTGGCGACAGACAGGACCCACAATCTCTTCGTGTCTTTGCCTCCCCTGTAAGTCCCTCCCCTTTGTCACTGTCGTTGGGAAGCTGTTGGACTCTGAGGGCTTGGCCCTTGTTAGGAAATAACGGAGCAACTTCCATCTTGACTTCTTGCAGATCCGTTCCCTGTGGAGTGTTCAGTATGGAACTGTAGGGAAGGAGCAGGCCTCTGCTGGGTGGTGTGTTCACATGCCCTTGCTGCAGTTCCCGCAGGGAGGGACCCCGGGTCATCGCTGAAGGAGCCGTGGCCAGGGCTCCGCGCCAAACCCGAGCCGTGACTGGAGACGCTCACATCTTTTGCAAAGGCGACCTCATCCTTCCGGTAGAGCCATGGTGAGTCGGGAGAATGTTTCTTCGTCGTGTTAAAAAGACTATTAAAGACGGTGTCTCTGCGGAACTTTAGTTACTACATATAACTGCTGGTGTCTGAGAGGGGAAGTGGGTAGACACATTCCTCAGAGGAGCGGTGGAGGGCTGGTCTCACTATGCAGTTCAGGCTGTCCTTGAACTCATGGCGATCCTCCTGCCTCAGCCTCGAGAGTGCTGGGTTACAGGCGTGCACCACCATGCCCAGCTTCTTACATTTCTGATGGGATAAAATGTTCCAGGGGACGCTGGCTCCTCCTGAGGGTGAAGACAGGTGTTCCTGGCTTCCTGTTGGGCCTGTTTCCCAGGGTTTTGCAGGGGAAAGGAAACACAAACGTATCAGAGCCGAACTCTGACCAAGCCGAGACTTCCGGTTCAGGTCAGGCACTCAGTGTTTTCCTCATAGTGTTGTAGGCAGCTGAGGTGGACAGAAATGTTACAGGCAGTGAGACCGGGCCAGGCCCTCAGAGGAGCCAGTATGGAAGACGAGATACCTTGCAAATGGAGACCTACTTGCTGCGGACCAGACCTCAAGACAAGAGACTGAGCAAAAGCGCCCACACACCTCTCTAGGTGTGAACATAAGGGATTGATATTCTAAGTAGGCAGGGATCACCGTGAAGAGTCGCTGACCCAATCCCTACAGGAAAAGCCCCTGTTCTGCATTCATGCCCGCTTGCTACGTGACTCGCTTCCCCATTGGATGCCGATTTAATCAATTTTACCCGAACAGTTCTTATAGGCTGAGCATACTTTTGTCCCACCTCATGCCCACCTTGTGATTTCCCATTTTACCCCTACCTTGGACCCGCCTCACCTCCTGATTTTGCTCTATAAAAGTCCCTAGAGGCCGAGCGTGGTGGTACATGCCTGTAATCCCAGCACTAGGGAGGCTGAGGCAGGAGTGCCTTGAGTTCCAGGCCGAGGCCGAGCGTGGTGGTACATGCCTGTAATCCCAGCACTAGGGAGGCTGAGGCAGAAGGATCATTGCCAGTTCGAGACCAGCCTGAACTGCACAGCGAGACCCTGTCTCAAAAAGACAAAAAAAAAAAAAAAGTCCCTAGAAAAGACGGAGTCTTGGGCAACCCACTCGGGCCCTCTTCTGTCCCTGTCTCTGATAGAAGTTTTCTTGTTTTGTTTTTTTTTCTTCTGGTACCAGGAATCGAACTCACAATGTTGCGCTTGCCAGGCAGGCGCTGTGCCGCTGAGGTAAATCCTCAGGCCCTTGATAGAATCTTTCTTTCCCTCTAAATATATTCAACTCTTAACCTATGTTGTTCCTAAAATTCATTCTTTGATGTTATTTTATTTTATTTATTTGTCTTTCTGAGACAGGTATGCAGTTCAGGCTGGCCTTGAGCTCACTTTGTAACCCAGGGTGGCCTTGAACTTGAAGGGATCCTCCTGCCTCAGCCTCCCAAGTGCTGGGATTACAGATGTGCGCCACCACGCCCGGCCATAACTCTCCCAGATATCGTTCAGGTTGGGAGTTTCTATTTTCCTATATCAACAGGAGCCTCGCAGAACCTCCCTGTCCTCCAACCTGAACAGCCCAGGCTGAGCGGGAGTCTGCCGCTCCTCACAGCTGCAAACACAGCACCCCCTGAAGCCCCACCGCCCCTCTGCGTGGTAACGAAACCCAGCTTTCTGCACTCTGATTTTGGTCCTCCTGGTGCAGTTTGCTGGGGATAAACATCAAAGCGCCGTCGCTGCAAGCTGCTGGAGACAGTGCCGCCCGGGTGAGCCTGTTGCTCCCCATGCAGATCCGATGCTTGCCTCGCACATCCCAGGGAGTGCTCCACCCTGAGCTGCACCCCTGCCCAGAGTGCTTCTGACAGTCCGTGTGGTTTCCAATGATCTGAAACATTTCCGGTTCTGAGACTGCAAAGCACGGTGGGCTAGAGAAACAATTTCTGTCCCCATCTCCCCCTAGGTAGCCATTTAAACCTGGTTTTGCAGCCATGGGTAGAGGCGCACGCCTGTAATCCTAGCACTCTAGGAGGCTGAGGCAGGAGGATGGAAAGTTCAAGCACAGCCTGGGCAATTTAGAAATTTAGTGAGGCCTTGTTGAAATAAAAGGCGGGGGTAGGGGGCTGGGTTCACTTCCTAGTGCTGAAAACAGAGTTTTTGCTTATCTGAGGTTTTTTTTTCTTTTTTTCTTCCTGAGCTAGGGATTGAGACCAGCACCTTTGCCTTGAGCTACATCCCCAGCTCTTCATTTTTGCTCTGAGACAGGGTCTTGCAAAGTTACCCAGGTGAGGCTCGAACTTGTGATCCTCCTACCTCAGCCTCTCAGAGTGTTAGACTTACAGTCATGCACAGTGCAGTAGCTATTTTTCTGGTTTTTTTTTTTTTTTTGTGTGTGTGTGTGTGTGTCTGTGTCTTTGGTACTGGGGAATTGAACTCAGGACCTTGAGCTTGCCAAGCAGGCACTGTGCTGCTGAGCCATATCCCTGGCCCTTTTCTGCATTATTTATTATTTAGAAAAATTTTATTTAGATTATTTAGAGGTAGGGTCTTGTTGTGTTGCCCAGTCTGGCCTCAAACTCCTGGACTAAGCAGTCCTCCTGCCTCAGCCTGCAGAGTGGCTGAGACCACACCCAGGCGCCACTGCACCCAGCCATGGTGCTTTCTTTAACGATACAAGCTAGGGCCTATGCCTTAGGAGTGCATGGAGACGTTCTGGCCCTCTTTACTACACTCTGTAGTACTTTGGTAGTAACTTAACCGGCTCCCTCCTGTCCCTTTCTCCCCTTCTGCTGTTACAATCAGGGACGCAGTAAATCGTGTGCAAATACTTTTTCACATTTTCTCAGCAATTGTTTGGGAACAGAGGCTGGACGTGGTATTGCCAGTCCAAAGAGGAAATGAATAGGTAACTTTGCTAAGCAGCGCTGCCCACCGCCCCCTGGGAGGTGACCTCAGACACACTCTGTGGTACCTGCTTCCTTGGACGTTTGCCAACGATTGTGTTGCCAAAATATGGATTTTTGCCAATCTGATAGGTCAAATGTGCTACTTTAGTGTGGTGTGGTATTTTTCTTATGGGAAGCAGGTTTGAACACTTTTTTATGTCTTATGAGACCCTTTATATTTCTTTTCCTATGAACTGTCTTTTCAAGCTGCTTTTCCAATTTTTAGAATTAAATTGGTGCCAGGTGTGGTGGCGCACACCTGTAATCCCAGCACTTGGGAGGCTGAGGCAGGATTGCCTTGAGTTCCAGGCCAGCCCAGGCTAAACAGTGAGATTAAGGCCAATTTGAACTACATAGTAAAACCTGATCTCAAAAACAAACAAACAAAAATAAAATTCAGTTGGTTATTTCCTCTTTACTTGGAAAAACTCTTTATTTTGGGTTTTTTTTTGTTTGTTTGTTTTTTTCCGGTACCGGAAATCGAACTCACGACCTTGCACTTGCCAGGCAGGCGCTGTGCCGCTGAGCTACATCCCCGGCCCTAGAGAAACTCTTTATATACTAGGAATGTTAATCATTTGTCAGGTATGTTAGCCATTTGTCCTCTTACTTTGTGTGTGGTAGTATTTTCCACTTAAATTTCCTTCTCTTCCTCCTCTTTCTCCTTCCCTTTCTTCTGCCTTGAACTCACTATGTAGCCCAGCCTGGCCTCCACCATATAGCAATTCTCCTGCCTCAGCCTCCTGAGTACTGCAATTACAGGCATCAGCTGCCATGCCCAGCTTGCTTACTTTATTTATTTTTTTTGTACCAGGAATCAAACTCAGGACCTTGTGCTTGCCAGGCCGGTGATGCGCTGCTGAGCTATGTCCCCAGCCCCTAGTTTACTTTAAAATTTTTGTGTAGTCAAATTTATCAGTTGTTCCCCTCAATTGTAGCTGCACTTTTAGCCCAAGTTATGAAAATCTCCTCTGCTCCCAAGTAGAAGGATTAATTTCTTTTCCTTCTTTTCTTCCTTCTTCCTTCTCTCTTTTCCTTCTTTCCAATTGTATATTGTGAAAAAAACCCATATGATATCTACCTTTTTTTCACACTCTGATAAATGAAATATACTTTATTTATTTATTTATTTTTTGAGATAGATTCTGGCTGTGTAGCCATGTCTGGCCTTGCACTTGCTATGTAGCCCAGGCTGTCTTGTTTTTTTTTTTTGGTCTTTTTTGAGACAGGGTCTCGATATGCAGTTCAGGCTAGACTTGAGCTCATTTTGTAGCCTAGGCTGTCCTTGAACTCACAATGGTCCTCCTGCCTCAGCCTCCCGAGTGCTGGGATTACAGGCGTGTGCCACCACACCTGGCTTGTCATTTTTTTTTTTGTCTAGTGCTAGGAATCAAACTCAGGACCTCGAACTTGCTAGGCAAGCGCTGTACGGCTGAGCTATATCCCTGTTCCTCCAGGTTGTCCTTGAACCTGAAGTGATCCTCCTGCCTCAGCCTCCCCAGTGTTGGGATTACTGGTGGCGCTACCAAGCCCAGGTCTTTTTCCAGAGTCTCAGATTTGATACAAACTCCTCCCTCCCACTCTTTCCATTCCACTTGACTTTTCCTGGACATCTTCTTCCTGGCTTGGACAAAACTGGACACGGGTCACTGTCAGCATCTGTCCAGCGCCCTGCGTTTGGATCCACTTTGCTGCCTGTTTTGCGTTCTGGGGCTCTGTGATCTCAGTGCAGGGTTTTTCCAGCAGTTGCAGGAGCTCTGACCTTGTGAGCAGGAGGGCGTCCAGAACCATTCAGCCTAGAGCCGGCCGCAGAGCCCGGGCTGGGCAGGCCACACTGGAGACTGGATCCCGCCAGGCCTGCAAGGTAACAGCAGCCAGTTAGACTGCAACCAGCACCCCAGCCCGGTGGGCCAGGACCGCGTCGGCCACAGAGTGCTGACAGAACGCGGACCCAACAGCGCCCCCCGGAGCCTCTGCTGTTTCCCTGCACTCTGCGACGGGACCACTTCCCTCTTGGCCAGTGTCAGCTCAGCCGCTGTACTTGTAACCCTGTAGGTTGTGTCTGCCCCACGCTGTACCCACAGCTGTACCCACGCTGTGACTTTGCTTGTGAGTCACGCCCAACAAAGGGCCTGGATGGCCACCCACTCGGGACCCCTCCGGAAGCCCAGGAGCCGCTTTTCTCTCCCTGTTCCAGTGAAACTCCCCCGACTTCCTCCTTTGCCCGGTGACTTCACCCCTGGATGTTGTCATCTCACAGCTCGGGTGGATTTCTCCCGTGTCGGTGGGCGTTGTTGGCCACGCCGAGCGGCTGAGGGCTCGGTGCCTGCGTGGGTGAGGAGGCGGGGAGCCCTTGGGAAGGGCAGGGGAGAGGCCGGAGACCTGGGGGCTGGGGGCGGGCTGGGCTGGGAGGCGCCGGTCCCGGCTCCCTCCCCTCCACACCTGAAATTTCCACCCGCAGCCACCACCTGCGGCTCCACCAAGCCCGGAAACTGCAGACCTGTATTTGGGGCTTAGGAACTGCAAGTGGGGAAACAGACTCAGCTTCCAGTCCGTGCCTTGCAGAAGGTGGTGTGCGTGTGCATATGAGTGTGAATACATGTGTGCGTGTGTGTGCGTCCACCGAGCAGGCAGTGCCGCTCTCACGAGGCCAGAGCGTCCTCGGGGACGCTTCTCTGGAGCTGAGGTCAGGGACTGTGTGACGTGGAGGATAAAGAACCCACACACTTCGGAAGACCATGCGCAGAACCAAAGCCTGTAACCCTCGAGCCAAACCCAGAGCTTCGGGACAGCCAGACGCCTGCGGGGGTCGCGTCCCAGGAGCCGCTGGAACCCCGAGCCTCCCTGGGGCCGCCTGACTCCATCTCGAAAGCATCAGTGCTGCCTCCACGGCAGTTTCCCTTCTGTTTCCGCACACGCTCAGCCCTCCCTTCAACGTGGAACACAGAAGAGAGCAAAACCCGAGGGCCTCCTGCACAGAAGCTGAAATGGAGGTCTTCAGCGGAGGGCAGAGGAGCCCCGCGGGTCCCTTCGCGGGCTGGTTTCCTACGGAGCGACGGATGGGGAAGAGCAAACGGAGAGGGCCCCGAGGCCTGGAGGGGAGCCGGGTGGCACCCAGGATGCGACCGCCCTGGGACAGCATGGCCCGCGGGGGCAGGGTACTGCTCTCTCTCATCGAGGGTGGGGCTCGTCTAATCCCAGGGGCTTTCCTGTAGCAGGAAACATGTAACACGCCCTTGGGTTACACGAAACCAGGACAGTCTGATCAAACAGGTGTCCACGCTGAGCGTGAGGAGAAATCGTGTCCTCCCGGGTGGTGGGGTAAGAAATGTCCTGAGGTGGGGACCCTTTTAGGGACAGTCGCTAATATGGAATTCAACGTGGCCCCTCTTCTGAGATGTATTTCCCCTTCTTGACTGGCTTATCCATGTCCTTTAAACCTGCCCTGGAGCTGAGCTGACCCTGAGCCCATCTTCAGCTTGTAAGGGGAAGCGAGGTGAGGAAGAAGTGATACTGACCAGGAAAATGGCAGCACTTCCTGGGCCAGGGCCCTGGACTTCCTGCAGCGGAAGAAAAGTAAGGGTCTGTGTTACTTTGACTGTCAATGTAAAAGGGGAGCAGGGCATGGTAGCACATGTCTGTAATCCTAGCACTCAGGAGGCTGAGGCAGGAAGATTGCCAGGAGTTCAAGGCCAGTCTGGATTACACAGTGAGACCCTGTCTCAAAACACCAAAACAAAACAAAAACAGGTAAAAGCGATGTCAAAAGGCGGGGGAGTTAATCGGGTTCCCTTTTACCACGTGGAGTCAATATCCTCTCCACCTCCCTCGGTGCCCGCAAGTTCTTGTCTCTCAGGACGCTGACTGGATGAATCCTCCACCCACAGCAGCCCCACTGCCTCAGGCCTCCGCCACCTTCCGCCCTCTCTGTTTCTGCTCGCCTTCCTCTCCTCTTCACTCTGTCCCAGCTGCCTTTACCAACACTGTTCTTTCCCTGTTTGTTTTCCTCTCCGACGTCCTCGCGCCTGGCTCCCCCTCCGCTTCCGCGGGGGGTCTCGCTTGCGGCCAGGGGCCGGCTGCTGCCTCTGGGTCTGCTCTGCAGAAACACAGCCTCTGCTGAGAGTGGATCCAAAATGTCTTTAATTCAATCTCGACAGCTAACAATGGGCGATGTCACAGAACAACCCAGGATTCCAGCTTTGAGCAGAATCAGAATCAGGCCACCTTGCATCCCAGGGCCCGCCCTCGCTGCTGGCCATCGCTGGAGCTGGGTGCGCTGCCGGCCTCCCTGACGCTGAGGGAAACTGTCAGTTGCATTTATCACTTAGCGAGGGTGATTGATCCCTTCAGGGCAGCGGTGTGAGGTCAGGCTGGGTGACAAGGATCCCATCTCAGGGGCTGGGGATATAGCTCAGTGGCATAAGCACCTGCCTGACAAGTGCAAGGTCCTGAGTTCGATTCCTGATATAAAAAGAAAAAAAGGATCCCATCTCAGAACAAAACAGCCAGGTGCAGTGGCACAGGCTCATGATTCCAGCACTCTGGGAGGCTGAGGCAGGAGGGTTGCAAGTTCCAGCCTAGCCTGGGCAACTTAGCAAGACCCTGTCTCAAAATGAATAATAAAAACAGCCAGGGTGTAGTTCCGTACAAAGGCTCTGGGTTTAATTCCCATTACAGAAAACAAAAACAAGACAATAGCAAAAACAAATTAGGGCTTAATTCTGTGTTTAAAATAAATCTGAAAATAGGCCTGCAGGTTAGAACAGGGTCCTATGGTTTAAGAGCACCGTGGTGTCGGGGTCTTGTGGTCTACATTCTGACATGGGGGCACCCCCAGGGCGGAGAGTCCTGGGTCCCTCGAGGGAACAGCTCACTCTCAAACTGCAAACCGCCAGAGCAGCCTCCTGCTGGTCAGGTTCTTCCGCTGTCCTCTGCCCCGGGGCTAATCACCCTCGGCCCTAGGCCCAGTACCAGACAGCTGGGGACAGGGGGACAGTCTGTGCCCCAGGGCCCGCTGAAGTGGTTCCACCTGGCCAGCCCTGCTCCCCGGGGAAGGACTCGGCAGTGTCCTGCTCAGGGCTCCTCGAGCCTCGCTGCCCTCCTGTGTGTGCATCCTCATCCTCGTCCTCGGGGGCCCCGCGGCTCCAGGGATGCCACGTGCACACTTCCGGGCTGCTGATCGCCTTCCGCTGCTGGTGGAAATCGGCGGCCCTCACAGCGCCAGGCCCGCGGCCCTTGGGCAGCCGTCCGGTGTTAGACACCGACCCGCCCTGCGCTGGTTTCTTCATGCGGGAAGCGTCTTGAGGGCACGGGCTTTATGTGTCCTTCCTGTTGGGTCCCCAACCTTGGGGAGAATGTACGGCGCCCCCAGGGGGGCAGTCATCACCTCAGGCAGGGAGCAGTGCCGGGACTCCCAGAGGCCGGGCCAGTGACGTCATCCCCGCAAGCAACTCGGATGACACCTCGCTGACTGGCTGAGTCACAAGACCTCCACCTGCCCGTGGGCTGGAGGGGACAAACTTGTTTTTAAAGCACGCAACTCTGCTAAGCCAAACAGAATGGGGCTCAGCTGGGAGAGGAGTGGGAGCAGGGCGCAGGTCGCCTGCGCTGGCTCCGGCCCCATCGTCGTGCCCGGAGCCCCCGGGGCCCAGCGTCCTCTCTGCTTTGGGACAGCTGAGCCGCCCAGGTCCCACCAAGCCCGGATTCCGTGGCTCCACATTTACTGTGTATCTGCCGGGTTTCCAAGACGTAACTGCAGAACATTCTAGGAGCCCTGAGCAGTGACCGGCCCTTCACCTGCCAACCGTCCCGTTTCTAGGTGTCACTGTCTCTGCAATATTCAGGGGCCGAAGTTCTGCCCCACAGGCCCTGACTCGCGCACGTGTGTGCGTGTGGGTGCCTGTGTGTGCGTGTGTGTGTGCGTGTGTGTATGGACTCGTGGCCACATCTCACAAGAGGGAAGGGGAGCCGACTGCCCTGTCCCTCCTCCGACTTTCCAAGTGGCCTGCACTGAGGATGCTTTGCAGCAGTGACCGGGCTGCAGGACAGTGGGGGCCTCTGCCCAGCAGGCGGAGAGCGCGGCTGGAACCCGCCGCGCCCAGCTCCCTGGGCCGAGCACCTTGGCCTGGGGGGCGGGCTCTGACCACAGGAAGGGGCATCCATCCTCCCTACCTTGCCTGGAAGCTGCCCACGCCCACAGGAAGAGCCTTTCCGCCTCCACTCCGGGAGGGCCCCGGGCCATGAGGCCGGGCCGAGAGCCGCAGGATCCTCTGGCCTGGCCTGTTCCCCATCTCTCCTGCCCGCAGCTGCAGACTGGGCGGAGGTTGGCTGGGTCTGCAGCTCCCGTGCCCCGCCCTGCTGTCGCTGGCCCCCCGAGAGGGCGCCGAGCTCCCGGCATGGTCTGGCCCAGGCCGGGGGGCACTGGCTCCGGCATTGCTGCTCACCACAGGCTGCTGCGGGGACCTTAGTTCCGTCTGACACTGGAACTAACTGGGCCGCTGTAGGCGGAGCCCCTGGTGCCCAGGTCACACCTGCCACCTGGGGGCTCAGGAACGTATGGAATAATTAAGTCCACCTCACACCTGTGACCCCAGCACTCCGGAATGCTGAGGCAGGAGGGCTGCAAGTTCATGCCCAGCCTGGGCAACCTAGAGACTTAGCGAGACCCTGTCTCAGAATAAAATTGATAAAAGGGCTGGGAATGCGGCTCAGGGAACAGGCCTGGGTTCAACCCCCAGTACCACAAAAGCAAAACAGCAACAAACTGCCAGGGGCACTCTCCTGGGTGCAGAGGCTGAGAAATCCTTTGGCCGCTCTGTTCCTGCTGGGATATTCATCGGAGCCTCGGAGGCCCCTCGGAGGCCCCTTCAGGGGTGTTCAGGGTTCGTTTGTTTTTCTGAGATAGGATCTTGCTGTATAGCCCAAGCTGTCCTCAAACTTGCCGCAACCATCCTGCCTCAGCCTCCCAAGTGCTGGGGTCACAGGTGTGTGCCACCACGCCCGATCCTCATGCTCTCCGTTTCTTGCGTGTCATCATTATTTTTGCTTATTTCTCCCTTGTGCTCACCCTGAAATCTGATCTATCCTTGAGGTTTGCCTTGTAAGCTTTTGTGAGACCAGTCTGACAGAGCCATCCCCGTGGGCTGCCATGGCTTTTGAGATCATCAGCAAGGTGACGCGAGCCGCGTTTCCTTTGGCGTACCTCAGGCGGGGGCTGTATGGCTCTTGGCACGTTCTGCTTCATTGATAATTACTAGTAATAATTTAATTCAACTGGAAATTCCTGTTCAGGGAGGGCAGACATAAACCGTTTAAATAACACACATTTCCTTGAGAGACGCCTTGAGGGTAGGTCTCCGCTGCCCACGCAGGGGCCCGGAAACCAAAGGTGCGGCTGGAGCCACCTGCGCCGGGACTCCTCTGGCAGACAGCCAGCGCGAGGCGATCTCCAGCGCCTCCGCTCACCTGCGGGGCGCAAACTCCGGGACTCTAGCCGGGCCGCGGAGTCCGGGCTCGCACCTCCCCTGGGCGTGAGCGGT